TTTTGTCTCTAGAGGGAAATTAAAAAAGAGTAAAGGAAACACGGCACTATTAACTTTGAATATGCATGTAATTTTAAACATATAAAAATTAAAAAAAAAACACCCTAGAGATACTGATGTATTATGGTCGACTGCAGTGGTTTTAAGCTGTGTCCCTCAGAGTCTAGGACTAAGGCAGCATATCAGGCGTCACCAAGGGGAGTGAGGGAGAGGCTGAGCAGCAGCTGGGGACCTTTCCTGAGGATCTGTGTATTTGTCAAAGGAGTTTTTAAATTACGTGTGTGCTATACGTTCCAAGTCTTGTGCTAAGAACTGAGAATACGATGGTGACAAAGTCAGACACAGTGTCTACCCTCAGGAGCTGACCGAGATTAGTACTGGGCACAGCTGCTCCCAGCTTTCACGCTCTCACTTCCTGCTCCAGTGCTCGGGCCGCTTCCGTCCGATTTTTCAGCTTGTCAGGTTCTGCTTATCCATCCCAGCACCACTATTACCCCCGGGGTGAGGCCTTCCCTGGGCTTTTCCAAGCATCCGACCTGCAGAATTCTGACCTCCCCCCTCCGCATTCTGGAATACCCGGTAGTGACATCATAATGAGTGAGGGTCTGAGTGTCTGTATCTTCTTCAGACCGCCTGTGAGCCCCTGGGAAGGTAGAGACTCCTTTTTGTTTTATATCCTCATACTATAAGATGTTTAATGAAGATTTTCTGAGTAAACGACTAAGTTTTTACTCCTTACATTAGGCAACAGGGTGAAGGTGCCACCATCACTCAATGGGACCCTCTCTGCCAGGGAAACATCTCCCCAGCACTACGCGGGAAATAGTGGGTTAGACATGGGGACAGCTCCACGGCACCGCCATCAGCAGGGAGACCGGATCTGAGACTGGTTATCCCTACAGAGGCTTCCACTCTCCCACTGACTTAGGAGGCAGAGAAGTCGCCCTAACAGAGGGAGTGGGGAGCGGACAGCATGGCTATAAAGACCCCAAGGTGGGAAAGAGTTCAATGTACCCCCAGATTCGAGGCGGGCCTGAGGGGGTGGAAGACGGAGGGCAGAAGGCTGTGACGAGCCGGGAAAGCAGTTCAGATCAGGTCAGCCTCATATCCGTGACCTGAGCGTGTTCCTGCCAGCGAGGTCTGTGGGTCAAAGCGAGCGAGGAGCAGGCCCGTGTGAGATCCGGGCTTCGTCATGTATCAGGTGTGGCCTGAGCTGAGTTATTACCAGACCCTGCTCCGTAAAGGGCTGGATGGAGCTAAATGAGGCTGAATCTGTGAAGTGACCAGGCTTGTGCCTGACACATGACAGGTGCTCTATAAATGGTCATTGTTGGTATTACTGACAGGTGAAACCCAACATATGAAAAAATTTAATTTACGAAATCAGTGAACAGTGATAAACACTTTGATAAACATATTCTGTTTATAATGGATATTGGATCTTTTCTATTGTTATGAAGACAGATTACTGAATTCCTTCCTGAATATTAGTTGTAATATACGCATTCTGTGTATCTATGGCCCTCAACCTCATAGTCTCAAAGAAGAAAATCCTGGCAAAAACAGGTTATTTTTTTCAGCCTTCTTAGAATGTTACATTTATTTTCTCCTGGACTAGGGCTGATTTTGAGTGAGTCTGCTTTTAAAGGGTACTTACTAGGACATACCTAAGGTTCCTGATAGGATCCTCCACTCGGAGAAGAAAAGCACAGCGGATTTAAAGTTTTCAAGTGACTCTGTCTTCTCATTCTGATACTTTCCAATGAAGCAGGTTCATGAGGAAAGAAGTTACTGTGCTAAGATGAAGAGTTCACAGAACTCCTAGTTCAGCAGTTAGGCTGCCTTCGTTTTGTGATGTAAGGAAAAGATGCAAATCCCCGTAAAGCAGATCTTACATGACCCCACGTGATTAGAGTAGCACACGGCAGTTCTCACCCGCTCGGATGTGGTTCAGGGAGGCCAGCATCCTCAACATGAACGAAGCTGGCACAGTGATGGTGTTTCTCGTCTCTTCCAGCATGAGTTCATTCCGATTGATAACCTGGGCGGCAAGTGAAGCAACCACGTCAAAGACCTCAAAGTAACCGGAGGTTTCCTTGCAGATTAGGAAAAGGGTCACAAACGAGCAGGCCCGAGAGGAAGTGCTTTGTTCTCTAGGTGCGTGCTGTCTGTATCTCCCCCTCAAGCTGCTCAACGCCGAATCGTCACTTTCAATTGCATTGGAGGAGGGGGATCAGAGAACCGTCCCCTTTCAGCTGGTAGGACGACAGAGGTCAACTCTGAGGCTACTTAACACATTCAAGAATTCACTTTAGGATTCCTTATGACTTGTTTCCCAAAGCAGCGTATGCTGTGTCCACTCACTGTTTTCATCTCCAGCAGAGCTGATACTTTTAGTGACACAGCAGAGTTAAATTATTACCCCTGGGTCACTTGGATCCTTTGAGAAATTATTACCTTCACTGAGGCAAAGTAATATTGAAAAATAAACCTGTGGACAAGAGTTACCAATGAACTGTGCCTTAAGTATCAGGACTAGGACTAAATGAATCTCCATGACACCTAGGAATATAATGCATAATGGTGAGCAAAGGAAAAAAGAAAGGGAAGCAAAGAGCACAACAGGGAAGAGAGGAAAGCGTGAGAGAGGGAGGAAGACGCTCACCTGACCAACAGTCCCCCAGTGAAAGAAAAACACATTTTCAGCTCACTAGGGTGCCCCAGGACCCTGCACAGCTCACTAGGGTGCCCCAGGACCCTGC